GGCCAATGCTCTAGCCACTGAACCAAACCAGGTAGGGCTGCATTTTCTTTTATATTTCAGTCCCATTGTTGCTGGAGCTCCATTGTCCAAGCTTTTATAACTTCTGTTTTGTGCATGTCTGGAGCCCATTGACTGAGTTTTCTATATATATCTTAAGTCAATTCCTTTGCTCTCTGCTAGGAAAAACCAGGTAAACACAGGACAGAAAAATCAAACTGTCATTTCTAATGCCTTGGAATGCACCGAAGAAGAAACATATATACTATTTAAAATAAAGACCACAAGTCTTGTTAAAAGCATCGGGTAATATTTGAAATGGAAACAATGCCCCTGTTCATGGATAAAAACTAAACAGCAAACCTGAGTTCTTCGCAAGGTAGCATGGAGTTTCATTGGGAATCCAGTGTTTGTGGGGTGAGACTTCACAAAATGATTTCAAAGTTCTTAAGTCAAAACACACACAGAAGACACAGGAGCTGACAAATGAAGTTGACAGAACAGAGTTCAGGTGCAGAAGTGGGAATGCGTCAGCCCAGGAGGACATGGATGGGTTACAAAACCAGTGGTGCTGACAGCAGTCGAACCCATTTGGAGACTGACAAATATCTTATGCCATATTCTATAGACAAACTCCAAACAGATTAAAAAGCGAAATAGAAAATATTAAATATTGTTAAAATAAAAGTTGTTGTAATAATTTGGGGATAGGAAGGCCTTAAGCAAAACAGGACATGCCAAAGCCATACAGAAAGTGGTAGACTTGAGGTCACAGTAATTACTACAGTATTACTGTGGAACCGTTTGTGTTAGGGGAAATGTGGAAGCTATAAAAGAGAACTAATTCAATGGAAGAGTAACATGCTATTACTCTATAAGAAAGAGATGAATACTCGTAATAGAAAACTAGGCCAAAAATATGAGCGTCACTTAACAGAAAAGGAAGTGCAAATGTCAATACACAGTGAGAAGACTTACATGACTTTATTAGATAGCAGGAAAGTGCCAATTAGAACAAAAAGTAATACTTTAGCCTCTGACAGCCAAAGATTAAAAATATTGATGCTGTACAGTGTTATGAAGGATCGAGAAATAAACATGTTTAGATATTGGTGGTGAGAGTACAAGTTGCTGCAGACCCTGAGAGCGTAATTTAACTACACCATCGGTGGTGATGATCGTGGACCTCCTTGAAGTTGGTCATGGTCTTCATGTAACCCTGTGACAGCTATGGAGCTTGTATCCCCACAACTCAGCGACAGCAGTGGAGGTGTTGGCTTGGCTGTGACAGTAATGGTGGTGGTAATTGTATGACTCGGAGAAGTGAGTCTACACAGAGCTCTGCTGCATTAGTCATGGGATTCACCCAGTGTTGTGTTGGTGGTGGTGGAGGTGGTCACATATCAGATAATTCTGCAATGTTGTCTGGGGTGGGACTCACAATCATCTGTGGCTTTGGGGATGGTCGGGATAGCTCTGCCAGGTTGGGCATGTTAGCCACCTAAGTCTGCAAAGTTGGTGATGATGGCGTTCACAGCCGCAGTGATTGAGGTGGTAAGGTTCATCCAGCTCTGCAGTGTAGGGATGGCATTTGTTATTCTGTGAAGTGGGCGCAGGTGGCCTTCACATAACCCCGTCGTGGTGGTGATGGTCTTCACATCACTGCGGTGGTGTGGTGGTGATGTTTTTTAGATAATGCCATAGTGTGGTGGTGATGGTATTGAAACAGTGATATGATATTGGTTGTGGTATTTGCATACCCACGTGGTGTTAGTTGTAGTAGTTACATAACTCAGTGGTCATTCTGGTGGGAGTGTTTTCATAACCAGGCCTTTGGCTATCTATCAGAGATATAACCAGTTCGGCCCAGATCACCACAATCAAGCAAATACTGCAGTAAAGCAACTCACATGAATTTTTTTATTTCCCAATGTATATAAAGGTTATGTTTATACTATACTGTAGTCTAATAATTGTGCAATAGCGTTATGTCTAAAAGCACAAGGTATATACCTTAATAAAAAAAAACTTTATTGCTAAAAATACTTGCCATCATCCAAGATTGTAGCGAATTTTTTAAAATATAGTTTTTATTGATTTCTTACAGAGAGGAAGGGAGAGAGCTAGAGAGCTAGAGAGCCAGAAACATTGATGAGAGAGAAACATCAATCAGCTGCCTCCTGCACATTCCCTACTGGGGATGTGCCCGCAATCAAGGAACGTGCCCTTGACCGGATCGAACTGAGGACCTTTCAGTCCTCAGGCTGACGCTGAGCCAAACCAGTTTCGGCAACTTCAGCGAATTTTAATATTTTTGCTGGCAAAGGGTCTTGACTCAGTGCTGATGAAAACACAATTAAAGCATAGCACAATAAAATGAGGCATGCTTGCATCTACTCAGTTCTATGATGGTGGTGGCATTGGTGTTAACATGTTCACCTAAATCTGTAACTTTGGTCAGGATGTCACCTAAGTTTACCTTGTTGGGGGTTACGGTATTCACAAAACTCTGCAATGGAGGTGGAGGTATTTGCATGACTATGATGGCAATCAGTGCCAGCGTATCTTTGTGACATTGGTGGTGGTATTCTCCTAGATCTGCCAGGACAGTTGTGGTATTCAACTGCTGGTTTTCGCATAATTGATGGTGTTGGGTGTACTAATCCTGTAACTGCAGTTTGTCACGATCTTCACATAACTCAGTGATGGTGGTAGTGTATTCACATAACTCAGCAGTACTGGTGTATCTCCACACAGCAATGCAAGAGTGAGCATAGTGTTTACAACTTTGAGGTTATTGATTTTGGTCACATAACTCTGTAATGTTGTTGGTGGTATTCATGTGCCTCTTCAATATGCACTGATCGTACTCTCATACATGTGATATGGTATAGGTGATGTATTCAAATGACTCTGAGATGGTGGGTGTGATGGCATCACATAATTCTATGATGGTCATGGTGCTTATATTTACATAATCCTGCAATGGTGACGTTGGGACACATAAAACAAGGCAATGCTATTTGTGTTATTCATGTAACTGTTCTGATCATTGTGGTTTTCACGGAACTCTGTGATGTTGGTAGATTTGGTGTTACATAGCTCTGCAGTTTTGGTCATGGTAGCCACAAAACTATAAAGCTAGAGGTAGCATTCAGATAATTTTGTGATGAACATGATGGTATTAATATAACTCTGTGGTGTTGGTGGTCAGGGTACTCAAATATCATTGTTGCTAGTAGTAATTGCATAAGTGTGATATTGTCAGAGCATTCCCATTATCCTGTGATATTAGATAATTCTGCAACCTGGGTCATAGTTTTCAGTAGCTCTTTGATGGTAGTCACAGTATTCCGATAATCTGAAGTTGTTGTTGTCACATTCAAACATTTGCGATGGTGATCATGGAGTATTCCCCTAGGTTTGCAACTTTGGGTGGGAAATTTACATAACTCTCCAAAGGTGGTGATGATAGTATTCACATATCTTTGAGAGGTAGTGATGTAGCTATGACACAACTATGCTCCTTTGGTCATCAATTACCTCACTTTGTAACAGGCTGCTGGTGGTATTCACATAACTATGGGATGCTGTGGAGTGTTGGGTGTGGCCATCTCATAACTGCAAAGTGGTCATGACCTTCATATATCTTAGTGATAGTGGCATCCACATAACTCTGTAACAGCACCTGTGGTGTTCACATAACCTACACTATTGCTCAGATGACTTGTGATAACATCACGCTACTTCTATAACTCTGCCATGTTGTTCATGGTATTCTTGTAGTTTTCTGCATGTGGAAGTGGTATTTACATGTCTGTGACTTTGGTGGTAGTGGTAGTCACATAGCCCTGTGACATTGGTCCTGGTCACTGTTATAAAATCTGCAGTATTGCTGGTCTTCTAATTCAGATATCTCTGAGATGTCGGTCATGGTGTCTGCATAAATGTGATGGTGGTGATGGTCTGTAAATAACTGTGACATGATGGTAGAAGTTTCATGTGCCTATGCAATGGTTGGAGTAAAAACCACATTTTATGGGCAGAGACTTAGGTTTAGAGAATTCTTGCTTAAAGTTACATAATAAGGTAGTACACACCAAGGCTCAAATTCAGGTTTTCTGAATAATTCAAATGCAGCCTTTTCTGTATTACACCACGGATTCTCTTCCTGCTGAGTCTAAATTTAAAAGCTTTGATACAAGACTTCTGTACCTTCAAACTCTCCATGGACTTTGGAACCTAATTATTATATCTCTTCCATTCTAGTTGTTTATCTATAGCCTTAGTTGTGTCCATATATTCATATACACATATGCACGCATATATGTATGCATGCACACATGCACACACACACACACACACACATTTTTATGTGTGAAACATAAAAATATTAACTAGAAATATAGATGTGAAAATTGACCTTATGAAAATTTATGTCAAATAATGCAGAAAAGAGCTTTCTGGTAAACAAAAATAAAGTATATTTGAGGACAATCTAGTTTATTCATAGAACCCAAAATACATATTTTAAGCAATGAAATTTAATATTGGCGAAATTTTTAGTTTTTTTGTTCTTTCTTTAGAAATTATAAACTTCTACAAGCCTTGTAAAGGACTATAAATATGAGATGTTGGCATTTGGGTGGTGATTACAGGGCAGATATGTGTTTAAAAAATCAGTGAATTATCTGTTTAAGATTTCCACATTTTATGGCATATAAGTTGCACCTGAACAAGAGTTTAAAAATGTATTTCCAAATACTAGTAACATGAAAATATTACAGGTTTCAGAAAGTTGAGTGTAGTACCAATCTAAGCACTCGGGATATTTTCTTATGAGTTGTCACAATTATAGAAGCAGGATAAAGTATCACCACAAATATGAAGTTCAATGTGACTAAGAAATGTATGTGGCTCCCAGAAATGCCCTTGATGTTATTAGGTGGTGTCTCTTCCTCTCAGCGCCCAGGGCTCATGATTTACATTTTTTCCCCTTGCAGTACTTGGGGTGCATTGAAGTTCTACGCTCAATGAGGTCTCTTGACTTCAGTACAAGAACACAAATTACCAGGTAAGCCCTTTTGAAAACGGACCCCTGTGATTTTACTTAGGAAAGGAATGTTTTCAGAGAGTAGCAGCCTAGAAATGTCCAAAGGGAAATGTTGTCCCTTGAGTGCTGGTGACAGGGAAGAGTCAGGACCCCTGTGTTTCAAGACTTCTAAATATTTATCCATATTTGTGGCATGTGTCTCTTGACCTGGCTCCCTGAAAGTCATGCCCACTTCCAAGCGCTTTTTATAATTAAGCTGCATACAAATTAAGTGTTTATATTTGTTTCTTTAATAACTAAAACTCTAATACCAGATTGATATTTTATGTGCTGATTTTCTTTAAAAAAAAAAAATCAAGATGTCAGGAGAGAATTTCCAACAATATACACAGAAAACAAAATGCACAAAATTGGAAAATAGTATTGTAGAAGAAAGCCATGGAACAGACCTCTAGTCCCAATTGTCAGTGACTTGGGACAGGTTTACATACTATTCTCCATCATCAACTAGATTGGAAACTTCCTGAGGGCCACTTCTGTGTTTAAGCACTGTTTTTATAAAATCTGTAGCCTAATACAGTTTATACATTTAGAAAAATGCCAATTCCAGTAATCTTAACAGGACAACTGGAAACCAAGGAATGAGGCTGTTAAAAAGCTGTTTGGATTGCTTTGGCAGTTGTGAAATATTTAATCTAAATTGTGATATCAGAAAAACGACTCATTTATTCAATTTAAATCACTGTGTGTATATCTTTGGGTTAGCGAAGTCTAAAGATTGTGATTCAGAAAGCAATTATTTGTAGTAATTAGCTGCTAAATGTGGACACCTCAGTTCTGTGTTTTAAGCACCACAAGATACCTTTTCTTCCTCAATGAGGAAATTCATGTTCAAAAGATTTGTCTTTTCTCTAAAGCTACTCAGGATACACATACATAGTGGGAACACACCAACATTCATAATTTACACTGAAATGAAAATTCCATCTCCACATATTTGTAGAAAATAGCCTATGAAAATTGCCAAGGCCAAAGAGTGGTATTTTGAAGTGAGAGCATTTAATAGAAAAGTTTGAACATTTACTTAGTTAATCATTCTACCCATGACAAGGCATGTGCTGTGCAACATCTGTGGACAGAGCACTTGGCCACGTGCCTGTGGTAATACTGGAACCCATGACACTGTTCACCTTCTCTTGTGTGGTGGCAGTTATTTTAAAAGAGAATTTTCAACAAATTCCCTTTATAGATACCACTACTTCTGAGATGACTCATGTCATTTAAATTTTCCTGGTACATTCATTGAGCATTTACTGCTGACTGTGTATGTGCAGTGTGGTGGCCAATGTGGGCTGTCCTGCTTTGCTGTACCTTCCAGTTTTGGGGGAAATGCAAATGGCTGAGGGGCCTGTGAGGGGCACGGCCACAGCCTGCTCCTTGGGAGAGGTATGGGTAGGGATCAGGTGAACAATCCCAGTGCTCTCCTGGGTGAGGGTCTTAGCATTCTTTGAGGTAGAACCCAAATGGGTTGAGGTGAAAATAGTATTGTAGAAGAAAGCCATGGAACAGACCTCTAGTCCCATTTTGTTTAGATTTTAACAAAGATACAGCTGTGTAATGGGCTGAGTAGAGTGCCATTCTTGGATACATGAAAGTTGGTGTTGAAATCTGGTTGTACAAGAATTGCTTTGTGTTTCTTAGACTTTTTGAAGAGTATCTTTTTTTTTTTTTTTCATTGATTGTTTTAGAGAGTGGAGCGGAGAGAAGTGTGGGCAGGAGAGAGAGAAACATTGATGTGAGAGAGACACATTGATTAGTTGCCTCCTGCTCACACCCCAATTGGGGCCGGGATTGAGCCTGCAATGGAGGCATGTGCCCTTCCCTGCAAAATCTTTTGGGCCATGAGATGACACTCTAACCCCTTAGCAAAACTGGCCAGGGCTCTTACCTAATTTTTATCACATGACCTTAGTTAATAGCTGGAAACTATTCATAAGAAACAATATGACAGATCAATGTCAGAAAGAAGCCTTTGCATACAGGAGAAAAATACCCAGAAATATTTTCTAGATGTGGTACATGGTGGAGCTTTTAAGGCCTCAGAGGTAACAGAGTGTTAATATGCCTAGGATTAAATTCTATCACTGTGGTTTACTCTATATAATAAAGGCATTCTTCAAAGGTTGTAGGGAAATATAATTTTGTAATTAAATTATATTGTATAGATTCTAGAAAAATCTGTTTCCAAAATTTTTAGCTATATCTTTCATAAAAAAAAATCCTATATAATAAAAAGCTAATATGCAAATTGACTGAACAGTGGAACAACTGGCCGCTATGATGTGCACTGACCACCAGGGGGCAGATGCTCAAAGCAGGAGCTGCCCCCTGGTGGTCAGTGCACTCCCACAAGGGGAGTGCTGCTCAGCCAGAAGCTCTGAGTCGGCTCACAGCTGGTAAGCACAGTGGCAGCAGCGCAAAGGAGCGGACTCAAGCAATCAGTCAGACATCCCCTGAGGGCTCTCAGATTAGGAGAGGGCGCAGGCTGGGTTGAGGCACTCCCTTCCCCCAAGTGCATGAATTTTGTGATTTTGTGCATCAGTCCTCTAGTACTTTTATAAACAAATAACCAACCTCTATTCATCTGTTCCATTTTTTCAAGTTTTGGATATATGTATTTTGAATGTTCTGACAGCTAAATCAAGTGTCCTTTTGTCAGTGCAGTGTAGTTTTATGCTCTGTCTGAGAACAGATGGACTGTAGTGCTTCCAATAGCACCACTCATGGATTACTGATCTCTCACGAGTAGATAACTTTAAAAACTACCTTGGAGCTGCCATTGTTGTATGCTTAGTCTTGGCTGTGGCTATTAAATGCCTTGCACACTAACACTTCGGGTAGAGGAACTAGATGACTTGTTCACACTAATGGTGCCTACTGTGAGGAGTCAGCCTATATGTGAAGTCCAACTCTACCAATTTCTACCCCAATGGCTGTTGTGAGAAACAGGAGTTTCTACCCCTGATGCACACAGGCAGGGCCTGGAATAGAGGCAGCCTTGTTCAAGTGTTTGCTGTCTCATTGCCTGAGCTTGTATTCAGCACAGTGGGTGCAAGACCCAGTGTTCAAAGAAGGGAGTGTTTGTGAGCATGAGAGCAACTGGGGTCATATAGATGGTAGCCTCAGCAGCTGCTGCTTTCTGGGTCAGCCTGCTGGTGTGGTACAGAGAGGAGCTGAGAGATGTATTTATGAAAGTCTGCTCAGGGGACAGAGATGCAATCCTGAAGAAGAAATAGCTTCTGAAGAAGGAAATAGCTTCCCAACATGCCCTTGTTTGTGAAACCCAGTATGGCCTTACCCGCTACCGTGTCCCCTGTCCAGAATGGCTTTGGAATGTGGCATAGAGTACTTCTCCACACCCTGTAGAGTTGCAATGACATTGCTCTATTGCAAGCTATCATAAATCCCACTGCCAAGATCTGTGATTCTTGGCTATTCTAGTGCTTCTCAAACTTGCTCCTCTGGCTGATGGAAACTGCTCTCCCCTCTCCTCACCACCAGCACCACTTCATAGTCTGTGTAAACCCCTTAGAAATCGCCATTCTTGCCCTAGCCGATTTGGCTCAGTGGATAGAGCGTTGTCCTGCAAACTGAAAGGTCCCAGGTTCGATTCCAGTCAAGGACATATGCCAGGGTTGTGGGTTTGAACCCCAGTGGGGGACTTGTAGGAGGCAGCGGATCGATGATTCTCTCTCATCATGGACGTGTCTATCTCTCTCCCTCTCCCTTCCTCTTTGAAATCAATTTAAAAAAATAAAAAAAGAAATGGCCATTCTCCTGCCTGGATTTCACACCATGCTGTCAGTCCCTGAGAGGAGGGGAGGAACGGTCTCAGTTGGCGTTGCTGAGGGTGGTGGCCCAGCGGGAGAACAGTCAGACACTCTGCTTTCATCTGAGTAGGCCCTGGATTTCACCATGATGCTATATGGCCAACAGCACTGGAAAACCACTGCTCCAGTGTCTGCCCTGTTCTGGCCTGCACCTGACCATCAGCTCATCACACCACACATCTCTGTGAGAAGTCCTGCCATGTGACTACTCTCTACTCCAATTGGGGGATGAGTTGAAGGGTATTTCCAGGAAGAGGCCCAGGGGAGACCACACTATCTGACCTGCTGGGCCCTGTGCGGCGATACAAAGCCCCCGTGGGCCGTGGGCCCCAGGCACAGCCTTCCCTTCTTTGTCCCTCCCTTTGGTTTCCTCATCTGCACATTTTAATTTATTCATTGTGTTACATTGTACCTATTATTGGAAGTCATCTTAAGCAATTTTTAGGACACGGAAGGCTATAGGTATACACACGATTACGTCCAGAGCACTCAGCGAGGTGGGCTTCTCCCCGTCAGTGCGCACCGCTGGCTTTGTTCTGGTTCTGCAGGACGCCCGCTGCCTCCTCACTGCGGGCAGCCAGGTGACGGCCACGCTGCTTTCCCGCAGGGCTGTGCGGCAGTGTACTTGCTACACTGTCAGGGTGAGCCTGGCTAGCTGCCCGGGGTCCAGCATCAACCACATTTCCCAGACTGTAGAGAGTGAACAATTGATTCCAGTTTAGGTTCTTCTGTTTTCTTATTTTAAAAGTTGTCCTAGTTTAAAAGTTGTCCCACTCCCCAGTAGGATGCTTGGCCTTCCGCCCGAGGGTTCTGCTGCGGGAGCCGGTGTTTGGGAAATTCTCCAGGGACATGCCTAAAATCCCTCCAGTTTGAAAACTAAAATCAAAGCCTGTTCAAGGCGCACCTCTCTTTCGGAAGGCGTCTCTTCCGCCTGAGGATGGGGCGCTGGAGGCAATTTCAGGTGTTGCCCGCCTGTGGAGGTTCAGAGCGGCGGCCAGGCCTCTCAGGGCTCAGCCCAGGGCGGGCTGAGCGTTCTGGCCGGTGCTGCCCCGGGGCCGGTTGGCAGAAGTGTGTGCCACGTGGCGCTGGCTGGCACTGCCAGGTAGCGGGTAGCTGCAGGCACACCCGGAA